CGCGCTCAGGGATCGGCACCCAAGGCGATAGCCCCCGGACGCACGGCCGCAACCGCCACGACCAGGCCGACGGGGCCGAGGCGAGCAACCCCAAGATCCGGTGAACCGATCCAAGTAGGAGCCACCGTCACCCCAAACGTCCAACGGCCGCCACAGTCCGGTGCACGCACAGGGGACAGCACCCAGGGCAGCACCACCCCAACCGCACGCCCACAACCCCAACAGTTGGGCCGCAGCCGCCTCGCTCGTCCGGCCAACAGGTGAGTGTTCCGGAGGAACACTTACCTCTCCAAGTGACAGGGTTTTGGTGAAGGCACACTGGCTTCAGGGAACGGACACTCTGTACTGGAGACGACCCACTCCGTTCAGCAGTCTGAAAGGAGATGAGACGTTACGTGATGAACTGGATGTTATCACGATTTAGATGGCCGTGGATCCATCTATTCAGAAAAGAATTATTAGGGTTAGAGGGGAATAGAGTTTGGTTAGATGGTTAGGGTTAGCACATCCGGTTACGACATACACTCGGGTTAGGGAACTCTCGAGTATTTCAACAGGACTCACTGGAAGGATACCTCCTACCCCAGAGAACCGGGGCGAGGAGAAGAAGACACGAGACAGACCACAAGAGTTTATTCACTTGACTGCTGTGGATCAGTCACACTTCTCGCCATTGTAGCCCCCCTCCAAGAGTGAGGGGCAAACTTTTGGATCAGGGATGACATGAACAGTGATTGGCAACACTGTCCACTGACTCCGGCCTGTACACTTTCTTAAGAGAGTCATAGTTACTCCCGCCGTTTACCCGCGCTTCATTGAATTTCTTCACTTTGACATAGCACTGGGCAGAAATCACATCGCATCAACACCCTGCATGGGCCTTCGCGTTGCTTTGTTTTAATTAAACAGTCGGATTCCCTTTGTGCCATTTTCCCCTGGCTCCCATTGGGAAACCAATGGCATCCGCTGTCTTCGCTTCCGTCTCTTCATTCAGAAGGGCTTTCAGGAAAGGCAAATACTTAGCCCTTTTCTTCTCTCTCATCGAAGTCAGTGTGGAGAGGGATGTTTCGAAAGAAATGGCCACATCAATAATGAGTGCCAGATCGCCTTTGGTGGCTACAATGTCCGGGACTGCTAGACCAAGTCTAGAAGACCGCAAATGCCGTTCCCTGTAGACCGACCATCCTATTTCTCTTGTTCTTATTGCTAGGATGTCACATATGTTGTTGTGGTTGGACATTCTTTGTCTCTTGGTTGCAGGACAGAGACTTACTATGTGGATAAGAGTCTCATAATCTCTTCCACATAGGCGGCACCCTTTGGGACCCTCTTTGTTAAGAGGGGTCCCCAAGCAGGGTATCGTTGAGGACCTTAGTCTGAGAGCAGTTATGAAGTCTGATTCGCTCAGTCTTGATTTTGCAGGGTCTCTTATCCAAGCATTTGAGACCACATCGTCTCCAAAGCACTCGGTACCCATGCCCTGCCATTTTAGTTTGACCCAGGCAGTATGTTCTTCCTTTTTCATCTTTTTGGAGGCAAGGAGTCTAGGGGGGACCTCATCCGCTTTGCAGCCGGCCACCTCTCCTCCAATCGTCTTTTGTAGTCGCCGTATTCGACTCTCCATATCCATCAGCTCTGCTACTGAATGGGTAAGTGGATCAAGTGAGCATAGTAGCTTTGAAGCTCTTCTTAATTGCATGGCAGGAATTAGCTTCCCTAATCTTGTCACATTAAGGCCTCCATCTTTGAATCTGCTATAGAGGATTCCATTTGTTGCAAATGTGGGCAGACCCAACCACTTCTTCACGACGGAGCGGAGAAGGCCATCGAGCTTTGTGAGGTGGCCGGCGCTGAGCTCGGAGAGGTCAGCTTGGTAGATCACCTTGGGCAAGAGGTGAGTTCTCAACGCAGAGAGCTTTTGGCTTGGTCTGAGAGCGGATTTGTCAAGCTTCATGACCGCCGCTTCGATTACAGGACCAAGGTCAGGGGTAAGAAGACCTCTCAACGGAGAGAATTCCATCCCTAGATATTTCACAGTGTCCGTTGCCGATAATAATCTTAGCTTCTCTCCTCTTAATGACCATCGGGGACAAAGGTTCAACACTGGCTTCCTTTTAACAAAGGAAAGCCAGAACCCTGAGCACTTATCAGGGTTTGCTTCCAGCCCAGTTTGAGCACTGAAAGAGTCGAGGATCTGCAGGTTCCGGGCCATCCCTTCCCATGAATCACTCAATAGAATTAGATCGTCAGCATATGCCAGTGCTGTTACTTTATGTTCTTCCGTTACTAATATTCCATGACCCGCTTTATCCAGAGCATAAAGCAATGGGTCCAACGAGAGGTTGAAGAGAGTCGGAGAGAGAGGGTCACCCTGTTTGACCCCTCTCTTCACTATCACCCGCTTTGATAGTCCTTTTTCTGCACGCACTCTAGTAAAAGTGCCAGAGTATGCGTTTGCGATACAAGTGACAAGTGTTGAGTCAAGGCCTCTGCGCCTGAGGCTTTCAAGAATGAGCTCATGAGGAACCATGTCGAAGGCTCTGCGGAGGTCAATGAAGACCACCGCAAGCGACCTTTTTCCAGCCCTCGCGTCTTTGGCCAAACAGTTTAGGAGCATCACGTTCTCAGCACAGCCTGGGGAGGCTATGAAACCCCTCTGCCTGGGTTGGGTAGGACAGGCTTCACTTAATCTCTTGTTAAGTACACTGGAGAAAACTTTTAGCAACACTGAGCTCAGTGTTAATGGTCGCCAGTTCTTTAGAGCAGAGAGGAGAGATTCGTCATCCACCTTGGGAATTAGCGTGGTGACGCTCTCTTTCAGACAGTCTGGTATTCCTTTAACAACTAACCATTTGTTGTAAAGTAATGCAAGCTTAGTCCCTTTGGGGTCGTAGGACTGCAAGTGGGTTCTTCCAATCTTATCAGGGCCCGGGCTTCCATTTCTTTTACCGACTCTTATTGCTGAGACAACTTCTGCAGCAGATATTGGAAAACATAGGCCAGAGTTATCAGCTTTCGGGAGGTCACCAAATTCTTTCAGGCCTTTGTAGTCCCCAGCCTGCCCCCAGAGCTTTTTGTAACACGAGCTGATTTCGTTCAGGGGGACTTTACACAAGGATTTCTTTCCCTGGAGAACTTCCTTGATTACTAAGGACTTGTCAGCTTCGTATCTCCTTTGGGCATACTTCAAGGAGGAGAAAGATCCAGCCAGGCCACCTTTGAATCTGCTCACTCCTGACCCATTGATCCTTTTTCCAAGTTTCAACCTTCTTCGAAGGAGTGCAACCAACTTTTTTCCTTCTATGTGCATCTCTCTGGCTGTCATTTCGGCCAGGCCCAGAGTTCTTCTAATTTTCGAGGCCATCTTTTTTGGTTGTTTGACCGGCTCGATTACACCCAGCATAGTCATTTCAAAGGCAACCAAGGTTGCCATCCTTGGCTCGCCCCATCTTCCCTCGTTTTGTTCAAGGGTAGCACCGTGCGCCAGGGAGTGCGTCAATCGTATATGTTGGGACATACCTCTTTTGGAGCTAAAGCTCCTAGAGCAGAGGACGCAGTCGAACCCTGACGCAGGTGTTCTTTTTGCCAACGGTCTGGTCTTCCGCAACCCACATCTGGCTGCATGACCTGTTATTATTGATAGGGATGAGTTGGATGTTTCACATCTCATACAGGAGGTGAGAACGTGTTTAGCCATGTGAGTTTTAAGATAGTGCAGTTTTGCCATGAGTAGGGACTTCAGATTTGTACCACAAATTGTACATTGGGACGGTCTCCAGGGCACCTTTAGATCAATCCAGACATTGGCAAATAATCTGCCTCTGGAGTCTGTAGGGTTCAAAATCAGTTTTTTCGAAGTTGCCAAGGTCAGAATGTTCGGAGTTGACTTAGGCATGGGAAAAAGTGTCCGCCTTGAAGGGGCTCCACCCTTCTTTGGAGTCCCTTTGGGGTCCCCACCCAGTCTCCTCCCAAGTACTCCTTTGGGGGAGCAGAGTTTGAGCAAAGCTTTCTTGGTGGGAAGGCTGCTGGGGAGGGCCACCTTTATCTTTTTGGAGTCCGAGTGGACATCAGGGGTGAGGGATCTTTTCATTGTCCCAAGGTTCGCCATCCGAAGGTACCCCACTGCTCTCGGTCACTCGACTTCACGGGTCTGCCGCGCCGCTTCGCCAGCCCTTCCAGATATACCTGAAGCACACACATAAGAGAATATGGTAGATGAGACCATCAAGTGACCAATCCCATCCACGCCTTAGTACAATCGCCGAAGTCAGCGATTGCAACAAATAAGCCCCCACCCCGGACACACCAGGGTTTTCGTGATAGCTTTCAGTCTACATTCAGAGCAAGCCGGCTTCAGCATTGCAGCAGATAAACCCCCCCTCGGACACATTGGGGTAGGGGGCCTCGTGTAAGTCTTAGATTGCATTCAGGGAGACACTTCGGTTTGGGACCTAAGCAGATAAGCCCCCACCCCGGACACACCGAGGCTGGGGGCAATATGCTGTTTCGGGCCATAATTCGAGCGATATTACGGTTTAGACTTAAGCAGATAAGCCCCCACCCTGGACACACCAGGGCTGGGGGCACCATGTCCGCCTCAGCTTCGCAGTCAGGCGTCATTTGGGTTTTGAACTTAAGCAGATAAGCCCCCACCCCGGACACACCGAGGCTGGGGGCAGTATGTCTGTTCCGGGACATAGTCCGCGCGACATTACGTTTAAGACTTAAGCAGATAAGCCCCCACCCTGGACACACCAGGGCTGGGGGCATAATGTCGGTCTCAGCTCCACAGTGAGGCGACATTTCAGTTTGGAACCTAAGCAGATAAGCCCCCACCCTGGACACACCAAGGCTGGGGGCATAGCAGATCACGTATGGGTCTTGTTGGGTCATCGATCTTCAGTCATATAGTTGTTACTTAATGCGTGACTGCTGTGTATCAGTCTTATTTCGCCCTTATTGTTCCCTTGCCAAATGGGGAGGGACTATTGGACCAGGGGTGGCGTGAACAGCGATTGGTAACACAGTCCACTGACTCCGGTATGTACACTTCCTTAAGAGAGTCATAGTTACTCCCGCCGTTTACCCGCGCTTCATTGTGGCCCCCTCCGCTCCGTTGTGGGCGTGACTATCTTTGGTGTGTGCCTTGTATACAGGAAGCTCGGGGCTCTGGCCCCCAGAGCTGGGACATGCTGCTTTTGGAGTGTATGTGCTGGCTCTCCGCACTGTGCGTTAACAATAAACTTACGCTTTTGATCAGACAAAGGACCTTTGAGTTTTCTCCTTCATGGGGTATATAATTCTATAACAGGACCCAGGACTGAGGCTGTAGACCCAGGACTGAGGCTGTAGACCCAGGACTGAGCCTGTAGACCCAGGACTGAAGCTCTGGACCCAGGACTGAGGCTGTAGACCCAGGACTGAGGCTATAGACCCAGGGCTGAGGTTGTAGACCCAGGACTGAGGTTTTAGACCCATGGCTGAGGCTGTAGACCCAGGACTGAGGCTGTAGACCCAGGACTGAGGCTGTAGACCCAGGATTGAGCCTGTAGACCCAGGACTGAGGCTCTAGACCCAGGACTGAGGCTGTAGACCCAGGACTGAGGCTGTAGACCCAGGACTGAGGCTGTATCCCAGGACTGAGCCTGTAGACCCAGGACTGAGGCTGTAGACCCAGGACTGAGGCTGTAGACCCAGGACTGAGGCTATAGACCCAGGACTGAGGTTTTAGACCCATGGCTGAGGCTGTAGACCCAGGACTGAGGCTGTAGACCCAGGACTGAGGCTGTAGACCCAGGACTGAGGCTGTAGACCCAGGACTGAGGCTCTAGACCCAGGACTGAGGCTGTAGACCCAGGACTGAGGCTGTAGACCCAGGACTGAGGCTGTATCCCAGGACTGAGCCTGTAGACCCAGGACTGAGGCTGTAGACCCAGGACTGAGGCTGTAGACCCAGGACTGAGGCTATAGACCCAGGACTGAGGTTTTAGACCCATGGCTGAGGCTGTAGACCCAGGACTGAGGGTTTAGACCCAGGACTGAGGCTGTAGACCCAGGACTGAGGCTGTAGACCCAGGACTGAGGCTATAGACCCAGGACTGAGGTTTTAGACCCAGGGCTGAGGCTTTAGACCCAGGACTGAGGTTTTAGACCCATGGCTGAGGCTGTAGACCCAGGACTGAGGCTGTAGACCCAGGACTGAGGCTGTAGATCCAGGACTGAGGCTGTATCCCAGGACTGAGCCTGTAGACCCAGGACTGAGGCTGTAGGCACAGGACTGAGGCTCTAGACCAAGGACTGAGGCTTTAGACCCAGGATTGAGGCTGTGGACCCAGGACTGAGGCTATAGACCCAGGACTGAGGTTTTAGACCCAGGGCTGAGGCTGTAGACCCAGGACTGAGGCTGTAGATCCAGGACTGAGGCTGTAGACCCAGGACTGAGGCTGTAGACCCAGGACTGAGGCTGTAGACCCAGGACTGAGGCTGTAGACCCAGGACTGAGGCTGTATACAGGACTGAGGCTCTAGACCCAGGATTGAGGCTGTGGGCACAGGACTGAGGTTGTAGACCCAGGACTGAGGCTGTATCCCAGGACTGAGGCTGTAGACCCAGGACTGAGGCTGTAGACCCAGGACTGAGGCTGTATCCCAGGACTGAGCCTGTAGACCCAGGACTGAGGCTGTAGACAAAGGACTGAGGCTGTAGACCCAGGACTGAGGCTGTAGACCCAGGACTGAGGCTATAGACCCAGGGCTGAGGTTGTAGACCCAGGACTGAGGCTGTAGACCCAGGACTGAGGCTGTAGATCCAGGACTGAGGCTGTATCCCAGGACTGAGGCTGTAGACCCAGGACTGAGGCTGTAGACCCAGGACTGAGGCTCTAGACCCAGGATTGAGGCTGTAGACCCAGGATTGAGGCTCTAGACCCAGGACTGAGGCTGTAGACCCAGGACTGAGGCTGTAGACCCAGGACTGAGGCTTTAGACCCAGGATTGAGGCTGTATCCCAGGACTGAGGCTGTAGACCCAGGACTGAGGCTGTAGACCCAGGACTGAGGCTGTATCCCAGGACTGAGCCTGTAGACCCAGGACTGAGGCTGTAGACCCAGGACTGAGGCTGTAGACCCAGGACTGAGGCTCTAGACCCAGGATTGAGGCTGTAGACCCAGGACTGAGGCTCTAGACCCAGGACTGAGGCTGTAGACCCAGGACTGAGGCTGTAGACCCAGGACTGAGGCTGTATCCCAGGACTGAGCCTGTAGACCCAGGACTGAGCCTGTAGACCCAGGACTGAGGCTCTAGACCCAGGACTGAAGCTCTGGACCCAGGACTGAGGCTGTAGACCCAGGACTGAGGCTGTAGACCCAGGACTGAGGCTGTAGACCCAGGACTGAGGCTATAGACCCAGGGCTGAGGCTGTAGATCCAGGACTGAGGCTGTAGACCCAGGACTGAGGCTCTAGACCCAGGACTGAGGCTTGTTATAGAATTATATACCCCATGAAGGAGGAAACTCAAAGGTCCTTTGTCTGATCAAAAGCGTAAGTTTATTGTTAACGCACAGTGCGGAGAGCCAGCACATACACTCCAAAAGCAGCATGTTCCAGCTCTGGGGGCCAGAGCCCCCAGCTTCCGGTATACAAGGCACACACCAAAGATAGTCACGCCCACAACGGAGCGGAGGGGGCCACCGGTGAGGAGGCGCACAGGAAGCGCCGGCGCCATCCCCTGTGGTGGCAGTGGCATGGGGTGTGAACAGACAGACAATGGTGGAAATGCAGGTCATACAGATGCAAGACGGAAAGACACAAGGGTGTGACAGACAGCAGGGACCTTCACAAAGCTCAGCATGGCGTCAGAAGGTCGTCTGCATTGATAAAAGGCCTTTGACGTCCGTGTATTTGCTGCGGCTGGTTTAATGTAATTACTCCAAAAACTGTCACCACAGGCTGTAGACCCAGGACTGAGGCTGTAGACCCAGGACTGAGCCTGTAGACCCAGGACTGAAGCTCTGGACCCAGGACTGAGGCTGTAGACCCAGGACTGAGGCTAAAGACCCAGGGCTGAGGTTGTAGACCCAGGACTGAGGTTTTAGACCCATGGCTGAGGCTGTAGACCCAGGACTGAGGCTGTAGACCCAGGACTGAGGCTGTAGATCCAGGACTGAGGCTGTATCCCAGGACTGAGCCTGTAGACCCAGGACTGAGGCTCTAGACCCAGGACTGAGGCTGTATCCCAGGACTGAGCCTGTAGACCCAGGACTGAGGCTCTAGACCCAGGACTGAGGCTGTAGACCCAGGACTGAGGCTGTAGACCCAGGACTGAGGCTGTATCCCAGGACTGAGCCTGTAGACCCAGGACTGAGGCTGTAGACCCAGGACTGAGGCTGTAGACCCAGGACTGAGGCTATAGACCCAGGGCTGAGGCTTTAGACCCAGGACTGAGGTTTTAGACCCATGGCTGAGGCTGTAGACCCAGGACTGAGGCTGTAGACCCAGGACTGAGGCTGTAGATCCAGGACTGAGGCTGTATCCCAGGACTGAGGCTGTAGATCCAGGACTGAGGCTGTAGACCCAGGACTGAGGCTGTAGACCCAGGACTGAGGCTGTAGACCCAGGACTGAGGTTGTAGACCCAGGGCTGAGGCTGTAGACCCAGGACTGAGGCTGTAGATCCAGGACTGAGGCTGTATCCCAGGACTGAGCCTGTAGACCCAGGACTGAGGCTGTAGACCCAGGACTGAGGCTGTATCCCAGGACTGAGCCTGTAGACCCAGGACTGAGGCTGTAGACCCAGGACTGAGGCTCTAGACCCAGGACTGAGGCTGTAGACCCAGGACTGAGGCTGTAGACCCAGGACTGAGGCTGTATCCCAGGACTGAGGCTGTAGACCCAGGACTGAGGCTGTAGACCCAGGACTGAGGCTGTAGACCCAGGACTGAGGCTGTATCCCAGGACTGAGCCTGTAGACCCAGGACTGAGGCTGTAGACCCAGGACTGAGGCTGTAGACCCAGGACTGAGGCTATAGACCCAGGGCTGAGGTTGTAGACCCAGGACTGAGGCTGTAGACCCAGGACTGAGGCTGTAGACCCAGGACTGAGGCTGTAGATCCAGGACTGAGGCTGTATCCCAGGACTGAGGCTGTAGGCACAGGACTGAGCCTGTAGACCCAGGACTGAGCCTGTAGACCCAGGACTGAGGCTCTAGACCCAGGACTGAAGCTCTGGACCCAGGACTGAGGCTGTAGACCCAGGACTGAGGCTGTAGACCCAGGACTGAGGCTATAGACCCAGGGCTGAGGTTGTAGACCCAGGACTGAGGCTGTAGACCCAGGACTGAGCCTGTAGACCCAGGACTGAAGCTCTGGACCCAGGACTGAGGCTGTAGACCCAGGACTGAGGCTAAAGACCCAGGGCTGAGGTTGTAGACCCAGGACTGAGGTTTTAGAACCATGGCTGAGGCTGTAGACCCAGGACTGAGGCTGTAGACCCAGGACTGAGGCTGTAGATCCAGGACTGAGGCTGTATCCCAGGACTGAGCCTGTAGACCCAGGACTGAGGCTCTAGACCCAGGACTGAGGCTGTATCCCAGGACTGAGCCTGTAGACCCAGGACTGAGGCTCTAGACCCAGGACTGAGGCTGTAGACCCAGGACTGAGGCTGTAGACCCAGGACTGAGCCTGTAGACCCAGGACTGAAGCT